TTCGCTGGGCTGTGTGTGCAGTGTTTATAGTCAGAGCTTATCCTGCCCTTATTGATGTCAGTGGGAGTTTTGCTATTGATTTTAATGGAAGCTAGATCACATACTCAGCTTTATCTACACCATTTACCCTATCACTCTGGTAGGTGCTCTTTTACCAGGAAGGAAGGTAGTCAGGCTTTCTAACACAAGTAATTAATGTGGTAGCACTATAGTGGTCTTCTTCAGGAGGGGTGTGCCAAGTAAATTTGCCTGCTCTTTGATTTCATCGGATTATATTGCAAGGCTAAAGCCTAATATTAAGTCTATGGTGACTTTTGTTTTTTCTGTTCTTTCCTTTCTAGTTTATTTCTGCACTTGAACAAGCGATGAGGGAAGGCTTGGCATGGCATGGCTTTGTTCATATCAACCAACAGTATCAACATTCCCTCATTGAACTCTGCTTTTTAATTCCTGGTGTCTCGGGGATTTTTGCTTGTAATAACTCGTAAGCATTCAATGTAGTGTGTTTTGGTATTATGTTGTTTCCACAAGAAACTGTACCAGCTAAATACTGCCAAGTAGTTCTATACATTGTATTATTATCACTGTGTCTTAAAATGTGTCCACACTGACCTTCAGAAATCGTGATATATATGAAAAACATCCTAAACTTTTTAGAATTATAAGAGCAGTTATGGGAAAATGTCTTGCTTAAAGGGACTCTGTCAGGTTGATTAGCATTAAAATTAACGTTCTGTTAAATATTGAAACAAATTATTAAACCTGGGATGCCTACACTTAGGCAGCAAAATCCAAAGCCAGACACCTGATTTTCATGAGTGGCAAGTACAAGCTAATTCTGTTGAAGTCAGTAGTACTTGCAGATGTTTGCCAAACTTTTTTTGTCAAGCTACTTTGTATTTAGGGGCTTAAATATGGAAGCTGAAGCCTAATTTTAGTCATGCAAGTTTGCAGTGTTGGTCAAAGAAAAACAATGGGAGTATGTTCCTGAATTTAAATTCCCTTGAGGAGTTTACCATATAAATGCTATAGCATTGTGCTAGGGTATGAAAGCTGAAAGAGAACTATATATTAAGTATGAATGACTGTGACTTGTGCATTTCAATTGTCCAAAGCAAGTGAGAAGCTAAAATTGTACAAGCATCATCATGACAAAAAATAATTGGATAGTCTGGCAAAAACTTATACACATTTGACTTTAAGTACATGAGCTGGCTAATTGAAGCCAGAGGAGTTCCGCAGTCAGAGAACTGCCTATATAGATCACTTTGCAGGATTGCTGCATTTATCTCCTGGTGGCCTACAAAATAAGAGAAGCAGTCAGTGGGGGTGGGAACGGTGGCAGGAACAGGGCCTAGTTTGTTCTCCTAAGAAAGGTTCTATAGAATGAATGAGGCAAAGGAGTGCTGAACCATAGCATTATTATTAGTATGGCAGGTAAAATAGTCTACTTAAGGAGTTGTCTTCATTATGCAGCAACCACGTAATTGTGCCAGCAGAACTCTGGTGGCAGATCCCCCCGCAATGGAGGCATGGCTTATGGTGGCAGAAGAGGCATTTCTACGGACTTAACCATTAGCTTCCTGAATGACAGACACTAAGGTGCAGCTGTCCTGTGTGGATAGCTGCACACAGAGAAGCTGCTTTCCCTGTATAGCTAGCTGGCTGTGATGTCAAGCCGCAGCCAAGGGAACAGTAATGCTGGCAAAATTTTGAAGTGTAGGTCTGATCTAAAAATATGTATGTATAACTTTCAAACTGATAGCATCCCCTTTAAAAAGGATTCTTCCAAGCATTTTTCATACTCAGAGACTCAGTATTTATACTACCCAGGATATAACAGTCTTTCTGCAGTGGAAGCCTGAAATTGAAATATATTTTCTTTTAAAAACTGTTTTCATTGCTTATTATTGTACAGTTGCAAGGGGTTTTGTTTGTTTTTTAAGTTCAGTAGTTTTTTAACACTGAATAACGTGTTCTGGAGAGGGTGAGACTGCTACCGAGAAAGAAGGATACAGATGTGTTTTTTCAAACAAATAAAAAGATCCACCAGAATGTCATGCCTGTCAGTCCTGATGGGGTTCAGTTGACACCATGCTAGACAGTATACAAAGACAGTATCCGCTGAACCCCATCAGGACTGATAGGCACAACATTCTGATAGATCTTTTTATTTTCCAATTAAAAATAAGAGTTTTTTTCTATTAATCTTTATCTTTGGCTGCTATTTAGCTGAACTATGTAAACATGGCCAATTCACCTGTAAATAGCCTCACTGTAATCCATCTCTACCTAAAAAACACAAGTCAGTAAGCCAAGCAGTGTACGTATAAATGCACACAATATATTGCCATGCACATACATATAAACTGTGCTTAAGTATAATTCTGCAGAGAAAATAAGCAATGACTAGTTGAAGGGCTCAGTTACTTTATTTTTGCTTTCTATTTATAGATTTATTTTTACATGTACCATTTGATATTGATAAATAACAGATGCCTACAGCCTTAATGAAATGGAAATGTCATTTTGAGAGCTACTGATGTATAACTGAGCTTAATGGTATATCCTGGTTATTTCAATCCTTCAGTTTAGAGAATCAGTGCACAAACAATTTAAAAAGCCTCTGGACCAAGGATAAAGCATTTTTTCATTTTTTGAAGTTGTCATGAGCTTGATCCTGCAAAGTATTGCGTTTCACCCTGTTGAAGGGGTGACTCAGTACCTTGAAAGTCAAGACCCTCACTGAAGAGAAAAGAGAAGCAGTCCAGCTTCAGAGGTTTTATTTTTCAACTACCAAAAACCTGTCATTATTTCATACTGGTTGACAGTATGAAATAACTATCAGCTGAAGGCCACATTCTGCCACTCTTACTCATGTTTAGTAGTACCTTATCCAGAAAAGAGTAGTTTGCACTAGTGAAATTATATATATGTAGTAAGGTTGCCAACCCTCCAGGCTTGGTCAGGAGTCTACCGGAATCAGCATCAATCTCCCAGTGACTATTGAAAGCAATCCAGGAAATTTTAATAGGATATTTTAAGAAAAAAAAAAAATCTTAGAGAAAAACTTCAGGAAAAAAAACTCCCAAAATACCTTCAGTCAAAGTTGGCAACCTTAGTATGTAGCTATGCTTTTGCAAATATCTAATTGCAGCACCAAAACAAAATGGGGCTTATCAGGGTAAGTTGTCTTGGTGCAACTAGGAACATGTACTTATGTGGTTACAAAGGTTCAAGCTCTCTCCCTCTCCCATACATACAGACTACAAACACAGGATGAATCACTGCAGGTTTTGAGTAGGATGGCAGAACTGGGTTCTATAATGAAAGCTTAAAGTAAGTTGTCCCAGGAAAGGGAATAACCAAAACAGATGCTTTAGGCAAGGGTGGAGAGGGATTACTGGTGCTCCCTATTAGCTCACGCACATTGTATACTGATACTAAAAAATGTAATTGTAAATTGTGCCTCAAGGATGGTGGAATGCGTACTCACTCTCCTATAGGAACTTGTCTTGGTTTGCCCTCTTGCCCTCTGTCGTGTTTTCTAATGGGGATGATTGCCAGACCTCAGCAAATAATTCACAAAGCAGTTTAGCCAACAAATGTAGCTTCTAGCGTCTTGCAGGATGTCTGCAGACAGACAGAAATGTCCTTATGCTTGTTAATGGAATGTATTACACGGATGCGTTTTACTCTGTGTATTCATCACAAATAGTGATCTTGCAGGTGTTCAACATTTGCTATTTGTTCACTACTGATCAGTATGACTGGTAAGATAATTTATGTGGTCTTGTTTCCTTTTATAGTTTGATGAATAAGTAACCACCCCCTTCCCTGCCCACTAGAGCTCTATCCTCAAAGTTCATGTAGACTAGACTGTTAATGGTTTCCAAATGGGGGGATCATGTTACTCAGGCTGTGTAAGATGGGACTACATGATACCATATATGTCTGTATTGTGCAAGCCCCATAAAATCCTCTGTGTATAGAGTGCAGCGGGTTGCAGTCTATGGAGCTACACAAAAACATAATTGGAGTATTGGAGCCACTATTTATTTTTTTTGCTTATTGTCTTTAAAAAAAAACAGATGAAAACCTAAATCAGTGTAGAACTCAGGCTACCTAGTCTAACACCCAATAGTAGTGTGTTAACTCACCCTTGTATATATTTGAAGTTATTTGTTAGAGCAGTGGTCCCCAAACTTTTTTGATCACGCACCCCTATCAGTAAAAAATTTCTGAGCACGCACCCCTAATATATGTGGAACTCCCACTCTTCCCTCAGGATACTTCGCGTACCATACCTGACACATGACCGTCTGACATACGGACCGACTGAGGGCACCAGTGTCAATCCATATATTAAATACAAGTAAAGCTTAATTTCTTTCTTATTTGTTTAGATAAAAAATAAATATAAATAGAAGTTCTAATATTTTCTTTCCGCACCCCAATGGATTGTCTTGCGCACCCCACTTTGGAGACCACTGTGTTACAGTATAAAAGACCATTTACGGTGTTAGAATCATATATACCCATGGGTGAGGCTGATTACATGGCATATTGGATGCCATGTAACCCACAAAAAATGCAATGATAATTTGGTTGCTTGTGTTGATGGCCAGCATCTTTTATAGTGAATAGCAGGGCTGTGTGAAATTTCACTGGCTGTTTCATTTTGATGCTGTTTCAACTTATTTCAAAGCTCGAAACAGCAAAATTGAAACAAAACAAAGGACTTCGAAACAGCCTCGAAACAAAACGAGGGCAGTCAAAATGTTTCAAAAGTTTCGAAACATTTTGAGTTTTGAAGCTGAAGCTGGGCTTGGCTGCAGGGAAACAAAGTAAGGAAAGGGAAGGGGAGGAGGGGGGAAGAACTGCTCTGATATTGACTGTGACAGTTTGGCTGCCTGAGATGCTGCTGATGCTACTGTGCTGTTCACTAAGTTATTACCTGTTGCCGTTTAAAGTGGTGGACTGGACTGAGGCTGTAGGGGAGGAGGAGGTGTTATTGGGACACACTACTGTGTCATATAGAGGCCTCAGCGCCAGTGAGGGCACGCCTTAACACACATGCGCGGTTGCGTGTTTTCACACAAGTTTTGCTTGTCCGCAGCTTGAGGTGCAGTTTCCCAGAAACCCCTGTACCTATCTCCTTGAAACCTGGCAGCCTTCATGCCCTTAGAAGGGGCTACCATGCCTGCTGTTTTCACCCCTCTGTGCCTTCACACTTACCAGTGATATGAGTTTTGCTTTCAAGACTTTGAGGTGAAGTTTCCCAGAAACCCCTACATCTATCTCCTTGAAACTTGGCAAGCTTCATGCCCTCAGAAGGGGCTACCATTCCTGCTGTTTTCATCCAAATCAGCAGAAAATGACAAAGTTATAGGCAGTTTTGTTCTTCCCCATTATAGCCTATAGGCAAACCATTGAAACAGCGAAACAGTTTCAACAAAACAAAACGGAACAGTGCTTTCAAAACTAAACAAAACTTGAACCAAAATACTGTCCCACTGAAATGGTGCAATGGAAGTCTAAACAAAACAGTGCTGTTTCGCACAGCCCTAGTGAGTAGAGCACCTCCCAAGTCAAAAACATGACTCTTTATGAGCTGAAGAGTCAGGTTCTATAGCTAAGAGTTGTAGCAGACCCAAGATCCCTGTGCATTTGTTCAGAGGGAATGCTGTAACACAGGAGCCATGGACACCTGAACGGGATATTCCTGGAAAAAGCCAGTCTCCATGTGGAAAAGAAAGATACTGTGTCCACATAATGCAATTCTTTGAACTAAGATAAATCTACCCAAACCCTATAAACATTGTACTGATTCTAATCCAGGACAGGGTTTTTTTTAATCAAAGGAAGGTAATTCCTTCTGGGGCAGCTTTTTATTTGCATGTATTTACACCAAGACAATTTCCTCCATGTTTTTCCCTTGAGGTTCCCTGTGTCAAAGCAACTCTTTTCAGATATCCATGGCTGTACTGGCCTTTAGTTTACACTTGCAAAAGATGAAGGTTAGCTAGGACTGCTAGCAGGTTCCAACATCCCAGAAGGAGCACAGACAGACAAAGGAGTGGCCAGGGACCTTCGCAGAGCTCCCCATATCAGCCTGCAGCTGTGGTGCTGCTCTGTACCTATTCCACTGCTGTTGTGTTGATGTTGTATGTGCCTTCAGCTCCTGTACTGATATTGCTTCTATTTTCCATGCTCATTGTACAGGTTTCCCTCGATTTATGCCAGTTCTTTATAGGTGAATTCACTCTTATGTGATGAGCATATTTAGACCCATAATTTGTTATATGCGAGGTAAGTTTACTAATTTGTGATCAGCGTAGATGCCACCCCCCCACCAAAGGAGGTAATTCTGTGTGGGGAGGGGAAAGGGCAATGGCCCCACTCATCCCAACCCCAGCTGCCAGCTGCCTGCAGCCACTGGGCTGAACTGTGCTCCCCCTGCCCCACCCCGTGCCTAGGCTCCACTTGTCCACACTTACCTCTGGTCCCAGGCTGCACCATGCCCCGGTGCAGGCATCTGGTGTCAGCTGCTCCCGGGCCACTCCAGCACAGGCTGAGGTGAGTGTGGATAAGCGGAGCCCCGGCCAGTCAGGGCATGGCACTCACCCGAGCCCCAGGACCAGCCAACACCATCTGCCTGTAGTAGCTGGGCTGCACTGTGCCCCGAACCCCCCAGGGCTTTGCCAGTCCTGAATCACCCCAGTCTGTGCTGGAGCAGCCCCAGGAGTGGTTGACTCTACCTCCCTGTAGCAGCTGGGCTGCACTGTGCCCTGGTGCAGGCAGCTGGTGTCAGCTGCTTTAGGGCCACTCCAGCATGGGCTGGGGTGAGTGGGGATCAGCAGAGCCCCAGGGGGGTTGGGGCCATGGTGTAGCACAGCTATTACAGGCAGCTGGTGTTGGCTGCTCCCAGGGCTGGGGTGAGTGCTGTGCCCCGACCATCTGGGGCTCCGCTTGTCCACACTCACCCTAGCCCATGCTGGAGTGGCCCTGGGAGCAGCCAACACCAGCTGCCTGCACTAGGGCATGGTGCAGCCCAGGAGTGGAGCTGAGTGCAGACAAGCAGAGCCCAGGTGTTGTGGGGACAGGCAGAGCCAGGGCTGGGGTGAATGCTGTTCTGTTCCCTCTGCTTTGCTGCCTTGTGCAGCCCTGGGAGCAGCACCCCTCCCCTCACCCCTTCCCTAGTCCCAGCCTCCTTCCCTCCCTCACCACCATGGGAACCTATTCCTATTTGTTACACTGTAAAGTGGGTTCACTTTATGCAAATTTGATTCATGCGCCATTCTCTGGGAATGTGTGTACCGCACAAATTGAGGGAAACCTGCATTTCTGAGGCTCATGTTTTTACATTATAACTTCCCCCTATTAACAAGCTAAACTTGCACAAGCATTAATTTGGCACTGAAAATAAAATATCTACAATGAGAATTGTAAATGAACTGCCACGCTCTGTAAATCCGAACTCATGCATTTCCCAACGTGTCCAGCAAACTACAACATTGTATTGTAGTATTCTCACTTGAAAGAATTATGAAAGAGTATTGGCAAGCCAATGTAAATGGCATAATTAGAAGAAAAATCTTCTAAAAATCTTAAATTTAACCCTAGCCCCACAGGACTAACAGCTATTTGGAAATGCTGATGAACTGATTTTAAAACCGAGACTTTTAATTCCCCAGGATCCTGCATGACATCAATCCTGTAGCAGTTCTGGGCCACTGAGGTCTTTTGTAGGCATGCAGAATGTTTGGCACTTATTTTTAGTTTCTTTGACCTGTGGACTGCAATGATTGGTTAAAATTCTTATGATAATGGAAGAATGTGGTAAATGGTAATATAAACCACAGAAAAAATGAATTTTAGCAATCACAGCCCAGTACACTTCTGGCTTGACACCAAAGCTTATTGACATACTCTTGAAAGCATTGGGTTTCTGCTTCTGCATATAGGACCAGAGCTTGCATGTAATTTTAACCTGATAAAATGTCTACTGATTTCCCTTTTTAGCAACATCATTCTAGCCACTAAGGGAAAGATGGTGGCTTATGCTTTTGTCCCTATGAGGGTAAAGGTTGGGGAGCAAATATGCAAAAGTGATCTTTAACAGAATAGGGCTGTGGGGAAGCGCATATCCCAGTGGCTTCTTTGTTCTTTTACAGGGTAGACTGACCTGTGCTCTGCCTACACCAACCTAATGCTGCTAACCAATGGGAAAGGTGTGTATAAAATCCCACCTTCTCTCTTGGCCTGTTTTGAGGTCTTAGTTCTTGTGCAAGATGCTGAGAACTCAGGGTCAATCCAACATTGAGACCTAGATTGTGCCTGTCCTTGTGCACTGGGATTATTCCTCTCACCTTTACATGGGTACAGGGCTTAATCCAATGCACACTTAAATTGTTGGAAAATCTGCCATTGCGGTCATTGAGTAATAGGTCAGGCCCATATACAAGTGCTTTCTTTCCTTGTATATCTACAAAGAACAGGACACAATCCAACTTTTAAATACATTTATGTTAAAAGAGTGTACTTGAACTGGTCTATATAGCTAAATAAATGGGTCAAGTATCTTCAGATACTGAAATTAGCATAACCTGCATAGACCATAAACTAGAATCTGTGAATGGTCAAACCAAAACCCCACAGGAATCATGCTTTCATCCAACTGGCCTTTCCTAGCAACGCTTTCCCATTCCACTTCAAGAAAGGTTCTTTCTTCAGCTAATTCCCCCTCTATAATTCAAGAAAGAAGTTCTTCATTGATGTACTCAGTGGCTTTATTTCTCAATTGAAAACCGGAAGAGTGCCTCCTGTAAACAAACATACACAAAGAGAGCTAAGCCACCCAAGGAGATTACATTTTTTTTCTGATGCACTGACATTTAAAAGCTACATCTTACAATAAAAGTGAAAACCTGAAAAAACTGTGGCAGTCCAGTTACATGCAGTTTTGGTAGAGTAAACACTTGGTTATTCAACAATGAGTCATTTCTGCAGTAACCTCATTCTGTCATGACTTTATCACATGCACTAGTTCGCTAAAGCAAGAGTCAAAAACATGAAAAGGGCCTCGTGGCCAATACATAATTTTCAAGTAAACTAGAAAAGCCATGTGTCAGAAGTGTAATAGGGCAGAGTGGTCCTCTGATGAGCAAACCTTTTTGAGGACATTAAGAAGAATAATGAAAAAGTCTGTTCTTTGTTTAGATCTTATCACATTTTTGTGCTTCTTCAC